TGACCCCAACCATAAAATTATTTTCAGTGCTACTTCAAAACTATAATTTTGCTGGTAAGTTTTGTAATAGAAATATCTTTTTTTCTGGTGGTCTTAGGCCAGTCTTGTGATAGGGTCATTTAATTCCCCAAAGGGAGCTGTGGCAACATAGGTTGAGAATCACTGCTCTAAACTGATACATATGAATAAATAAATAATAAAAGCAATTAAGAGAAAATGAAATGAAATTCTTAAAGCAGGAAACAGTGGAAAAAAGAAACAAGAGGTATTATGGCAGCAATGCATTCAAAGAAAATGAAAATTTAAAAAATCAATAATTGATTTTTAAAAGATTTTAATTTATTTATTATTTATTACATATACAGTGCTCTGCCTACATGCCAGAAGAGGGCATCAGATTGAATTGTAGATGGTTGTGAGCCACCATGTGGTTGCTGGGAATTGAACTCTGGACCTCTAGAAGAGCAGTCAGTGCTCTTAACCTCTGAGCCACCTCTCCAGCCCCAATAATTGATTTTTTTAAGGAGACCAAAAGAATTGAAAGAACACTGATACTGACTTTGAAACAGAGAAGGCACTTTCTTGGTAGGGAGAGAATGCCATTAACAAGGCATCGTATGATGTTGTCCCATGTAAAGTGTTTGCTACTCAGTGCTGTAAGCTGACACATGGAGTTACAGCCAATGGGCTGTGCCTCAAGCCTCTGAGCTGACTTCACTGTGTCAACCAGGATTGCACACACACATCTGTATAAGGGAGCTGCCTAATTGCAAATTCAATATTCATTGGCTCAAGATAACCTTTCCCAGCTGTACAACCACAATATTCTGTGTCCATTCACATGACATGAATTAAAACATGCTGGGAAATTACAAAAATAAGCCAGATACCATAGTCAGGTCCTTTTTAATATTGGTGACTCCAGCAGCTGATTTCCTGCCCTGTTCCCTTGCAATGTAAACAATAACTATTCCTCCTGTTTTGGTCTGAAGGCAGAAGTAATGCTCCCCATGGGAATCCTTTTCCTGTGACTGCTTTGGATAGCAGACTACAGTCTCAAAAGAACAATTTTAAAACTCAGAGGTGAGCTGGGCTCACACCTGTAATCTCATCAGTCAGAAAGCAGAGGTAGGGGGATCTCTGTGAGTTCAAGGCCAGCCAGTTATACAGATTGAGTTCCAGGACAACCCCCAAAGCAATACAGAGAATCCCTGTCTCCAAAACAACAACAGCAACAAAATAACAATAACAACAACAACAAAAAGCCCCCTGAGGTTGTACAGTCATTTAATTTAATAATTTTGGAAGTGTAATATAGAGAACAGCAAGGTCAATGTCCTGGAAAGCAACAGTCTGGAATCAAAGTCACCTAAGTCAACATAAGACTTTGTCTCAGAAATGTATTTTCTAACGAGATGGAAATGCAGCCATCCTAAAATTACTGTGCATCCCCAGGGAAAAATCACTTTACACACTTGGGACATTAATAAAGAAAAATCTCTTTAATGATAGCATGCATCCATCTCTAGCTAAAGCTCCAAGAGGAGCCATCTTAGACACACTTGCATTCCATGTATGCCATCGTCCTTAAGTGTCTTTTAGGTTCATGCTCCAGGTTACAATTGATTTTCAAATATTTGTCACCTGATGTACTATTGCCCATGAGGCAGAACTATGCTATTCTCAAGAAGAAAACTGGAACTTTATGGTTCACGAGGCCTTAAGGTTGCTTATGCCCTGTAATGCCTCCTTGAGCAGCTTCTTTGGGGATGAGCCTTGTGTCTGGTTGTAAATCAGGGGAATCTTCTTTGCAATGGTTTAGGGCCAAATGCCACAATCTCTGTTAACCTCAGAACAAAGCTGCTTTTGCCTCTGAGCAGGCTGATTCAGGAGAACGTCACAGCTGCTTCCATGCAACACCATAAGGAGTTCATTGTAACTGGCCCTGGCTGCTGTCTGTCTCGGGGCTGTCACACCCCTGTAGAAAATTCCATCCCTTTTGTTTCCTAACTTGTTAAAAATTTAATTATATGGGTGTTTTCCCCACATCTGTCTGTGCACAGTACTTACAGAGGCAGGAAGAAGGCAGGAGATGTCTGGGACTGGAGTTACAGCAAATGGTTAACTGGCATGAGTTCTGGAAATGGAACCTGGGTCCTCTGTAACAACGCCAAGTGCTCTGTATTGCTGAGCCATCTCTCTAGTGCATCTTTTTATTTAAAAGTTATTTCCACAAACTGATAACTAGAATGTATTACACCAATTTCCGCTTTTATCTCTTGATTCATTCCTTCCAACTCTTCCAACTGCTTCCTTGGTATGTGTGGGTGAAGAAGTAGACTGAAATACATGGATACAACATGTTGTTTTCTTTTTTGTTTTTGTTTTTCCCCCAAGACAGGGTTTCTCTGTATTGTTTTGGAGCCTGTCCTGGAACTCGCTCTGTAGACCAGGCTGGCCTGGAACCCACAGAGATACGCCTGCCTCTGCCTCCTGAGTGCTGGGATTAAACGTGCGCACACGCTCGCGTCCGGTGCCCGGCTCACCTCCATCATTTTTTGTGGGTTGTACATATGTGGATGATCGCCTTACCGTGTTTTGTTGCATAAACAGGGAGCTCATCGCTAATCAGCATCTGGTGCCTGACCCTGACCAGGCTGCCTTGGACAGGAAACATAATCAATAGAAAACATGCCAGGTGGTGGTGGTGCACACGTTTAATCCCGGCACATGGGAGTCACAGGCAGTCGGATCTCTGTGAGCTCGAGGCCAGCACAGTCTACAGAGCGAGTTGTGGGACGGCCAGAGCTGTTACACAGAGAAACTGTGTCTCAGAAAATCAAACAAACAAATAAAAAGTAGAAAACTGCGTGTAACTCACGTGTCTAGAGAAGCTCATTCTGCGTGTAACTCACGTGTCGGGGGCTCTGACACGCATACAGCTTCCATTCTTCAGTGTACAGAGAAGCTCACTGCTGCGTGTAACTCACGTCATTCATCGCATGTAAAGAAGCTCACTGCCGCGTGTAACTCACATGTCAGGGACTCTGACACCGTCTCCTGGACTCCCCGGCCATGATAAGAAACACAGACACACATACATGCATACATACATACTTGCTTACATACATACATACACACGCTACATAATCTACACACAGTCAGACATGTCTACATACATATACATACTTGCCGTGTGTTGTGTGAATCAGAGCGTGTCTGTGTGTGTAACCATGGATGACACGGGTGTCCCTGCCATGTGTGAATCATGCGCGTGTGTGCAGGCGTCTGTGTGTGTGATAATAAAAATAACAGCAAAACCAATAAGACAATCAATAATAATAATAAAACACAAATGGCACAAATAATAACAATAATAATTGCAAAGCAATAATAACAATTAGTAACAATAATAATCAACAATAATGATAACGAATAATAATTAGTAAATAACAATAATTAATAATATCAATAATGAAATAATCAATCATCATAATAACAATAATAAGAATTAATAACACTAATGATAATGATTGATAATAACAATAATAATCAATAATAATAATGAATAACAGCAACAATAACAAATAGTAAAAATAATAACAAAATTAATAATAACAAATAACAAAAATAACAATAATAAAAACAACAACAACGACGGATAACAATAATAACGAGTAACAATAATAATAACTAGTAAAAATGATAACAATAATAAAATAATAATGAAACAATCAATAATAATAAAGAATAACAATAAGAATTAATAACACTAATAACAATGGGGGTTGCATAGTCTAGAGGGAACTGGGGGAGGAGCTGGGGGTGAACAAATGACCTGGGGTGAATTAGTGAAGCTGAAGTGAGGCCAAGCTCAGACCCCGCCCCTCCCTCCCCGGCCCCGCCCCCTTGGCCCCTGGCCCCGCCCCATAACCCCGGCCCTGTGCCCTTGGTCAGCTCCCTGTGACTTCGCCCCTATGACCTTGGCCCCAGCGCTCCATGCCTCCTGTGTCCGTGGCCCTGCCCCCTAACCCTGGACAGCTCCCTACTGTCTCTGGCCCCACCCTTAAAGGTGCTGTGACTCCTCCCCCTGCATCTCTGGCCCTGCCCCATCACTGTGACCCTGCCCCTCTTTCCCAGCCCCACCCATGTCCCTGTGACTCCGCCCCTGAGTCTCTGGTCCCGGCCATGTCCCTATGACTCCGCCCCTACGCATCTAGCCCCGCCTCTGATTTACATAAAATAAATAATGGGAGAAAACCCGTTTTCCTCTGTGCATTCTCGGGGGGGCGTGGCCCAGGCAGAGTCACAGGGAGATCCTACGGCAGGGGCGGGGTCACGGCGTCCCACGGCGGGGGCGGGGCCGGCATGGCGAGCACAGGGACGACAAACAACAGTGATAGCGGCAATAACAGCAGTAATAATAACTGACGAAAACAACGACAGCCACGGTAATAGCGGTAATAACAGCCATGACGTCATCGCCGCCGTCACCTGACGTCTCCACGCCCCACAGTCACCTGACGACGTCCCCAGCGCCCTACCACAGCCTGCTTCCTGTCCGGCCCCGGGCGGACACACTGGGGCTCATTTGCATATTAATGATCGGACACCGAACGCCGGTCGGGGGTCTCATATGCATATTCATGACGGCAACCGGGTCTGGGGTCTCATTTGCCTCAGTCTCGGATCCCAGAAGTCCCGCCCGCTTCCCTTTGATGGACAGGGTCCTCTCTACGGTTGATGGACAGGAAGCGGGGAGAGCACCAGGAAGTTTGACCGGCGCCGGCCAATCACCGGGAAACCGAAGGCCCTCGGGGATTCCCGCCTGGGTTTCTGGTCCCGGAAGCCACGCCCACTCCCCTTTGACGGACAGAGGCTACGCGGAAGTCCCGCCCTTCCACGGCTGATTGATGGAAAAACCGAAGCCCCTCGGTTATTCCTGCCTCAGTCTCTGGTCCCGGAAGTCCCTCCCTCTTTCCCTCTGATTGACAGGAGCTTCCCGGAAGTCCCTCCGGGGCGACCGCAGATGGACACCCGGCCCCGCCCCGGCCCCCAGGCCGCTGACTTCACCCCTTCCTCCCGGCGTGCCCCCCGGCCCCGCAGGAAGTTGCACAACCCATAATAGTATAAATGGGGCTTGCAGGGCGCGGCCGTGCACAGGACGCTGCAGCCAACGCCGTGGGAGCCGAGCGAGGTGAGGGGCGGGGCCTCGGGGCAGGGCCTGCGGGAGCCGGACCTTGGGTGAGCGAGGCGCGGGACATCGAGGCATGGAGCCGGGCTTCGGTTGCACTGGGCAGGGCATCGGTGCGCAGGGCAGGGCCTCGGGAGGAGACTGGGCGGGACCTCGGGGCGAGAGGCGGGGACGGGCGGCCGTGACCCTAACGTGACCACTCAGGAGGCGTGGCCAACTCCTAACGCTGAGATGGGGCTTTCACAGAAGTAGGCGCGTCTGTCCGCGGGAGGGGGCAGGGCCACGGCGGTGACGTCACCGCTCCCGTGTCCCCATCCTCTGTGGGCGGAGCCGGGCATGATTGACGGCGACAGGATGGGCGGGGCCATGAGTTTGTGACTCCTTGCGGGGGGCTGGGCGGGGTCAGTGGGTTGAATGACGTATTCCTTATGGGACGTAGTGGGGCCGTCCGGATTTCTAGCTCCTTCCAGGTTCCCGCTCGCAGGGGTGAGGGTGTGGCCGGGGCTGTGATGTCATCACAGGTCCCACCCCCGTCTGGGCAGCTCTCGCTCTGGGGCCACCGTGGGGAGATGGGGGGCACTCGCGGTGGGTGTGGCCTCGGTGACATCATTGACCCTCCCTCGAACTCCCCCTACCCCCGCAGGCATCCTGACCTCCGTTTCCGGCCATACCCTGTGTCTTCCGGTTCCGACTGTCAGTCATGGCCGCTGCCCTGTGGCTCCTTGTGGCGCTGGCCACGCCTGCCCCCAGCCCAGTGACGTCAGAGAGTGGTGGGCCAGGAGTGGAGAGGAGGGCCCCCACCCCTGGGTGCCAATCAAGGGTCCTGGTGACATCACCACCAACGGCTCCCTAACCCTGCCTCCTGTCCCTGCCCCTCACCTGTCACTCACAGCCTGACCCCGCCCCTCTCACCCCTCCCCCAGGCGCGGCCCCGCCCTTCTTCAACCTCCGAGTGTACCCAAAGGAGCTCCGCCTGAGCTGGGAGCGCAGGGCACCTGGGCCACAAGCCGTGTGCAGGAAGCAGGGGCTTGGAATTGTGTGGGTGAGCGGGGTCACAGGGGTCACTCACTTCCCGCCCCCAAATCCCACTTCTTCCTCTCCTCAGCCCCACTTCTGTAGGAAAAAGGGACCAGAGAAAGAAAAACATCCTGAGCAGAGCCAAATCTGACCCTAACCTTGTGCAGAAAACTAACAAATCCTTGAGCAGAGCTCTAGCCAATCTGAGCTCAGCACTAAAATCTGACCAATCCCCACCCTGGAAGCCCTATTAAAACCCTGTGTCTGTTCGCGCTACCAGGCTGTCCTCTGCCACTCTGGCAGAGGGCAGTCACTCTCCTGGATTCTTCCCTCCCAATAAACCCCTTGGATAAGCTTTGAGTGAAGATCTTCTTTTGGGGCTGCAGAGGTGACCCTGAGCAGAGCAGAGCAGAGCCAGTAGGGTTGTAACACTTGCCCGGTAATCCTTCCCTTGTCAGAGCAGAGTTGTTACACCCCGCTCTCTGCCGAGCAAAACTGCTACACTGGGCGAACATCCCCAGCTGGAAGACCATATCCTGCTGGAGCGGAGCCAATACACTGGGGAAGCCTTTCCCTGAGGCCCGGCTGTAAGCTGCGGCCTGTGGTGGTCCTTGACTCCCAAGCTCCAGGACCCCTTTCCACCTGAGCTGTAACACTCAGTATCCTTGGCTCCTGAGCTCCAGGACCCCTTTCCACCTGAGCTGTAACACTCAGTATCCTTGGCTCCTAAGCTCCAGGATCCTTGACCCATCCCGATCCGTTCAAAATGCCTGCGACTTCCTCTGCCCCGCCCCACTTCCTCTCTCCACTCCTCCCCAAGTCTGACATCGGCCGTGAGCACTGCCGCTTCCCGTCGCTGTCCCTGTGTCACATGACCAACATCAGTGTCTTCCTCCCCAACGACCCGGGTGCCACCGCCACCTGGATCCTGTTCCCCGAGTCGGGTGCGTGACCCCTGACCCCTCCATGGCCCCCATAACATACTTGGGTGACTCCTCGGTGACCTCTGACACCAGACCCCACCCCCCCAGACCCCAACCGCCCTGCAGCAGCCACAGACCTGCACTGCTGGCTGCACCATGTGGACCATGTTTCCTGCCGCTGGGGGCGGGGCCCTGGGGCGCCGAGCGATGTGCAGTACCGGATGTTCTGGCGGGATGCCAGGTGAGTGGGGGGAGGGGAGAGAAGGGGGTCCGCTTCCCATCCCCCTGACCTCACTTCCTGTTTTCCTGACCTTATTTCCTTTCCCCCTGACCTCACTTCCTGTCCCTCTCCATGATGTTGCTCTGGCATCGCTTTCTCCCACCCACTTCCGGATGCCGATTTCTCCCCTCCCCCCGCAGGCAGGGGCGGGACCGGGACCGTGAGTGCCCTCGCTATGACGTCATGGGCATGGGTGGGGCCCGGCTGGGTTGCACACTGGACGCGGTGCTGCCCACGCTGATGATGGTGACAGTGACCGGGAGCAGCGGGCAGGGCCCCGTGTCCTGCAGTGACACTGCCGTGGACCTGCAGGCAGCAGGTGCCGGGGGGGGGGCGGGGCGGGGCTAAGCAGTGGGGCCTGGGGGGAATGGGCGGGGTCGGGTAGAGGCAGAGTCAGTTGGGTGGAGCCTTGGCAAAGGGACTGGGCCAGCTGGGAGAGGTGGGGCCTCAGACACAGGGTGTAGGTCAGGGCGGGCTGGGATATGCAGAGGGGTGTGGTTTTAGTAAGGGGCGGGGCTCCACAGAGGAGGCGTGGCAATGAGATAGTTGGCATGGCTCTGAGCATGGGCGGGGCTGCCCTTAGGCCCCTCTGCCCTGTCATTTGCCCCCTGCTCTGACCCCTCTTGCCCTGCCCCATCTGACCCCGCCCTGTCCCTTCTCACCCTGCCCCACAGAGGTCCTGACCCCGCCCACCCTGCGGGCCAAGTGCAATGGCAGCGACACTGCCCTCGTGAGCTGGGTGATGCGGAGCCGATTCCACCGAGGGTTCGAGTTCCAGCTGGAAATCCGCAAGGTGGGCGGGGCGGGGTCACTGCTCGGGGCTCAGTGCTCGGGGCTCGGGGCTGGATGCTGATCCTTTCCACCTCCCTCCCCAGGGTCCTCACTCAGAGCTGGAAACCGAGCACGTAAGTCCCGGATGTGGGCAGGGCATCTCGGAAAGCACCTTGGTGAGGTCACTGGGGGAGGGGCAGGTACAAAACGCGGTGACATCACCGGCCCCGCCCTGCAGACCTCCGAGAGCCACTTCCGGGTCCGAATCCCAGGCTCCGCCTCCTTCCGAGTCCGGGCGAAGCCATCAGACATTGCAGACTTCAGTGCCTGGAGCCAGGTCGCGGAATTGGGTGAGGCGGGGCCCTGCCCATGTGATGTCACCCCAGCCCTGGCCACTTCCGGTCCTCACCAGGAGCATGGCCTCCCTGTCCATGACCCCGCTCCTGTCCCTACCCCATCTGCAGACTGTGGCCCTGGGGGGCGGAGCCAGGTGACAGTGACGACGGTGGCGACGCTTGTGGCAGTGGGGGCGGGACTGACGGCGCTGGTGACCCTGCTGCTGCTCTGCCGGAGGTGACGTCACGGGGCAGGGCCCAGACGAGGCCACGCCCCTTCCCTGGGGCTGTGTCCGCTTGGCAGAAGGGCGGATTTGCATATGCAAATGATCAAGCCAAGGGGCGGGCTTAAATATGTAAATCCCACCGCAAGTGTCCGCCCCTAGTTGGGAGGAGGCATGCAAATTAGACCCTGTGGCACATATACAAATGCATGCAGATATGTAATGCAATGAGTCCTCGCCCCTCCTGACCAAGTACCTGCCCCTGACGTTGGCCCCGTCCTCAGGCGTCTGCTCCCACCCATCCCAAACCTCAAGGACCCCATGGGGGAGAAAGCGGAGCCCGCAGAGCTGGTGAGGGTGGGGCCGGGTCATGGCAGGGGTCTTTTGAGGGCGGGGCTGAGGGTGAGGGCCTGGGAGATGGTCTGGGGGAGGCCTGAGGGCGGGGCCTACAGGGGTGGGCTTATTGGAATTGAAACAGGTGGTGCCTGGAACAGTGGGAGTGGCTGCAGTGGGCGGGGTTTCCGAGGCCCCATCAGGGGGCGCGACCAGTGCTTCCACCCGTGGTGGGCATGGCCACAGTGGGCGTGGCCCCTCAGCCTCACCCTCTTTCCCAGGTAGCGTGGGAGGCAGCACTGCCCGAGGAATGCGAGGTGACGCAAGTGATGGAGGCCTGAGCTGTCAATTACCAATAAAGGCGGGGCCGGCGGCGACCCTGCCCCTTCCACCACAGACTAGAAGTGGGGCTGCAGTTACTCGGGGGCCACCCCTGTCATTCGCAGACCGGAAGTGGGGCTGTCAGTCACCTGGGGCCTCGCCCCTGTCAGTCACACACAGGAAGTAGATGCTTAGTCTTTATTGATTGATACACGGGGTCAGGGCTCCCTGAACTAGGACAGATGTCGGGGTCAAGAGGTCAAACGTCCAGGGCTCCCAGGATCCCTGGGGTCTGGAGGGGGACGGGGCCTGGGGAAGGGGCGAGGGGGCGGTGTTTAGAGGCTGATTGACTGGCAGGGTGATTGATGTCATGATCGACAAGAGGCGGGGCCAGGGCTTGGCTGACGGCTGGCGGGGCGGGAGTCACGTGGAGACTGATTGCAGTGGTGGGGCTGCTTCCAGTCCTAGCCGGTGTCACTTCCAGGAAGAAGGAAGCCAGCTGGTGGGCAAAAGCGGCTCAGGGCAACCCCCTGGGGTGGGGTGGGCGGGGCCCCATTCATCCCCAATGGGCGCGGGACATGATAGGGATGGGGCTCCGCCCATCCCGGCCTCCCCCCCCACAGCGGCTCCCCGGTTGGGTGGTGAGAGGGACTAGAGGCCGGTGCGGGAGGGGTCTCTGTGCCCTGGGTGGCAGCTGCACCGCCTGGGCTCTGGGCTGTGCTCCTGGAACGCGATGGATGTCACACTCACTTGCTGGAGGGTTGGAGCCGTCTGAACTCCATGCACACACCTGGTTCCAGGCCTCTTCCCTGCTGGGATTGGCAGGCAGTGTTTCCCATCTCGCCTTCTAGATCCACTGCTGCATCTCTGCTTCATGTGCAGAAGACGTGTTCCCTCAGTCATTTGTTGATTCATTCAGTCGTTCATTTATTTTGTCTCTCTCCCTCCATCCTCTCACTTTTGTCCTCTCCCCATTCCTCTATTTTCATAAAGACACCTTTCATACCAGATTTGTCACGTCTTGCCCCTAAACCCCAGGGTGACCTCACCATGTCAGTCTCTGTAAGACCCAATTTAGAAATAATGTTGACATTGCCCGTTACTGGTGTAGCGCTTCAACACACAAGAAGACACAGATCACCAGTCAGTCTTCATCAGGCCTAAGGCCCAAGGAAAATGATTTGGAGAGAAAAAACTCAGGGATCTGGAGCACATGCTTTCCAGGCTGATCATGTGCTCTCAGAATAAGCAGAAAAGGGATGTGTGGCTTAATAAAGTTCTGTGTTGCAAGAACCTTGAGTCTTTCCTGTTCCTGGTCCCTTGATTGTCTTTTGCAGGTTCTTCTAATGTATATTGTACCCAGAAATAGCAGTGCCACCAATAAAATAGCAGGGGAATTTTCACAGATGGCTCCAGACCAAGGGTCATGTTGCATGATTGAAGCACCATAGCAGTGATCTACATCATGCTGGTTTGTGTATGTATGTGTATTTTTCCTACCCATGATGCCTTTACATAATGCAGGCTGACTTCTTACTTCTCACTACTCATTTTTCACCCTTCCAATTCCAGGTTTGGGCCACCAAACCCTTTCTGGGATTGTTTGTTTTTGATATGTAAGTGCTCACCTAGGTTCAGGTATCTGCAATCAGACCTGACAACAGCTCCTTGGGTCTTCACTAACATCCTCATGTCTGGTTTGAGCTCTGCTGAGGCTCTGTGGAAATTTTCATCATTACATGCGTAACTCCTCTTTTTTTGGACTCACCCAAAACCTGTAATAGTCTGAGGATCTTCCCCAGGAGTTCGCTTATTCAGTACAAGTGACCCATGTTTCCTGCTCTGTGTCTCCTGCCTAAATTATCAACATCTTTCTCATTTTATTGACTATGTATATTCAAAGGGAAAGCACTAATCCTGGGCATTTTTGCAAAGTGAGCCTTGAAGTCTCCACAGATAAGAAATTTTTATTGGAGCAGAGAGCTAGATCTCTGGCTTTGGATAGGGTAGATGCTCAAGGGCTTCCCCTGTGGTCCTGGAGTCTCCTAGAAAGGGCAACTTGGATTCATGTCTGTTTGGGGTGAGATAGCACAGAGGCAAGGACTATACAATATGACATCAGCAGTCTATTTCAACATTCCGTTATATCTTGGAGACCACTGGCATCTCCTGTGATGTCACCAGTGTTGTGACAACACCAACTGCCAGTGCACTGTTGACCTATATACAAGTTTGCAAGACTGTGCAGCTACTTCAGAGAGAGAATGAAGAGACCACAGAGAGGCAGAAGGAAGCGGGCTTCAGTTTCAGTATCAGACATTGGAAAATAAGTGGCTATGGGGAAGGAACACAGAGTTCTGGATAGGGTATGAAAGGTTAGGGAGTTCTGCTTCATAGTTTTCCAAACAATCAAAAGGAATCAAAGAAACAGAATTTACTTACAGTAAAGCTTTAATGCTTGATTTTTGGTAAACCTTTATCAGAATTATTTTGCTCTCTGTATCATCTGTGCTCCTTGTGAATAAGTTTGGAATTTAATGTGTTCTTTTAGTGTAAGAAGAATTTGCCAGTGCCCAAACATTTAATAACACTTCTTATACAATGACAGAACAGGACCAACATCTCCATTAACAGTGAAAGAATATACCATTTAATACTTTGTATTGGCCAAATGTCCTTTCAAAGGTAATACCACACTGAACACTTACATTGATGTTTTTCTACTTAATGGTATTCCAATTCAATCAATTACTAGATTTCTATTACTAATAGGGCTACATAATATAAAATTTTTAGCTTCTTTAATTGGGATTATATTCCAGGGGATGTTAGAGGAAGCAAATGCAACAGTGTATTATATATGCATATGAAAATCTGAGATAATAAAGGAAAGAACTGTAAGGGAAATTTTCTTGAAAAAATATATATTATTAATTTTCCTTTTGTGCAAAAATTATAGGCTGTTTTCCTTTACCAGTTTTCATAGCATAATTAACAAAAGGCAACAAATGGCAAATATGTCATTCCACTTCCTAAAATTAGAAAAGAAACAGTCCTTTTTGCCTCTCTCATTTTCACATGTTGGTTCACAGCAATGTCTTTAGAAAGTACTCTTGACTTATTTAAACTGTATTTTCATAGAACCATATGTAATTGATTTCATTGCCACCAGATAAGCAAAAACCATTTAAATAATTCTGAAACCTTAAAATTGTATCATGGGGTTTTCTTGGCCCAGCTGGGTCCCACCACCCTTCTCTACCCCAAGGAAACATGCAGACGCTATATTTGTTTTTAAGCTGTTGGCCATTAGCTAAGGTTTCTTATTTTCTAGCTCTGTCTAAATTAACCAATTTCCAATAATCTATGTATCACCACAAGGTCTTCTCTCAACAGAGAAAGGTCAGGGCCTCTTACTCTGTAAGGGTCTACATTTCATCTGCTCAGTGTCTCCACATAGAAGAGAATAATAGAGAAGAGAGCGATTTTCCGTTAGTTCCTGCGTATATACTGTTACTGCCCAGATACATCACTTCCTGGGATCACATGATAATTCTTCTCAGCCTACATGTCCCAGAATCCTTCTCATATTTTCATCTACCTCTCTTGCTGCCCTATTGGGCAACAGTGTTTTATTAATCAACCAATAAGAGAGACATACTAACAGAATGACACCTCCCATCATCTCTTTTCTGTCTAAATAAAAAGAAAGGTTTTAACTTTAAGACAGTCAAATTATTTATAACAAAACAGTTATCAAGTAAGAACTAGTTACAATATTTAGTCCATTAACATTTAGCAAACTTTAAAGAAAATATTCTGTCATCCATCCAATCTTTGTGAGTCTACAGTCTTATATGTAATTCATCTTTTATCATATCTAAGGAAAACTATAATCATGACTATCTGTCTTCAACTCCATCAAAGACCATAGAAGGATAATATATAAACTCTAGTTCCTCTGTAATGTTCCATCTTCAGCATACAGGCCACAGTGTGTCTGGCAGACTTCTCAGCAGAGCAGGGAATTGTAAATTGTCTGCCTGCATTGGCAGTTTATCAGTAATTTTTCTGTGTCTTGCAGAAAGTCTGGCAGACTCTTCCACAAAGCAGGAACCCTTCAGGACTGTCCATCTTGTTTTGAAAGTTCAACAGTCACTTTCCTATGACTTCTGCATGCCCAGTTTATACAGCAACATTCAAACAGTCTAGGCAAGAGCAGTTTCTTACCCAAATGGCTAGTCTCACCATATTGCAAACAAACTCCATAATGAGTTTCTTCAATGCCCATCTTCCTCTCAGACATAATTGATATTTCCAGGAGCAGTTGTGTCTCACTGTCAAGAAAATGCTAAACCATTTTAAATGCCATATTCTGAAGGTCTTTGAAAGATTTAAAGAATATCCATTTGAAATATCTCTTTATATCTAGAAAAATCTAACATAACTATAAGTTTGAATATTTCAGGTGACTGTCATCTTATTTTTTAAAGATTTATTTATTTTGTATACAGTGTTGTGTGTGCATGTCTGCCTGCAGAAGAAGGCACCAGATCTCATTACAGATGGTTGTGAGCCACCATGTAGTTGCTGGGAATTGAATTCATGTCCTCTGGGAGAGCAGTCAGTGCTCTTAACCACTGAGCCATCTCTCCAGCCTCATCTTATTTAATTATACATTACATTTTAAAAGAGACTCTATAAACACAATAGTTAAACAAGAGGAGAAATACACATATAACAAAATTGACCCTAAATTTGTATCAACAAATGAAAATACATTCCAATACAAAGTATTCATTTCTATACCCTATTCCCCCTTTTTAACCTTAAAAAGTGATTAACTGTGATCATTACCATTTCTGACCAACCCCTTCTAAATGAAAGTAAATGTTTATAAAAAATATTTGGGAGCTTCCTGCTATTCTGAGGAGCTGTCGTGGGAATCCTAAGAAAACCCAGAAATCTTGGCTGTAGTGGTCTGCAAGGCTGCCTTGTCCCAGCTGTTTGGAATGTTGGATCACTTGGGCCACTGCTTGGGGGGGGGTCTTGCTTCATCAAACCTTATTAGTCTGGAAGGAATCCACAGCTTTTCATTTTCTGCGGAAACACAAATAAACTCTCTTTTCTCAAGTAAAATATCCTTATACTTACATTTTGAAGTCAAGGCAGTTTAAAATATATTAATTGGATTAATCCAGCAGCATTTCTTTTAGCAGTTGTTGCTATTTCCTCAGCAGTCAAACAATTCAAAGACAGAAGAACAATAACTTACAGTATCAAGATTCCCTGTGTATTTTCCATATTTATGTGGCTTATTTATTTATTCATTATTACTCTATTTCTTTTACTTTTATTTATTTATTGTTTTTTGAGACAGGGTTTCTCTGTGTAACTTTTGCTGCTCTTAAACTCACTCTGTACACCAGGGTGGCCTTGAAATCACAGAGATCTGCTTGCCTCTGCCTTCAGAGTACTGGGATTGAAGGCATGTGCCACAGCACCCAGCTACTCTATTTCTTTTTTTTTAATTACTTCATCCTCTTTCTTTTCTCTACCAAGTCTATGGATATTTTTAAACACACTGTAAACATTTTAGAGGTTTTTCTTCATCTGAATCTGTCTTTACTGCAAATATTTACATTTTTCTGGCTGTATGTCTTTTATCTGCTAAAAAACACAACTAAAATTAAAGTGGTGGCTGTTTTAGTCACTGGCTTTCCAAGATAGTGGGGGAGCATTTACTGCCAGCACTGAGAGCTGTGCTCACTGCCTTGCATGCTGCTGGCTTGGAGATGTGGTTACTGCCACTGCTGCTCGTACTCACAATTCAATTGTTAGCAGGGCCTCTTAAAAGAGCCATGTGGTTTTTCCATTTATGCTGAGTCAGGAAACCTTACTTAAAGTTGCAGCATGAGTCTCTGCATGTCTCTAGCAAAACTGAGCCCACCAGGGAAAAATGCTGCTACCAAGAAGCTTTGTTTGTGTCTGTTCTTTTGTTTCTAAATCCCTTAAGTTTTTGTCAAGTTTTAAGTGGAAATTTGTGCCACATGTTGAGAGCCATGTCAGTCCCAAATGAACACAACAATGTGTTTTGAAAATACTCTTGACTTCTTTAAAAAATATTTTTGGGCATGGCTAGAGGCAAATACAGTGATGGTAATAAAGCCAATGCAGGAGAGAGAACGATGTCTTTCCAGCTTGTGGTCCTGGAGCAAAAGCTGCTGATTCACCTTGGTTGCCAGTTTTCTCTTATAAGTACTTACCACAGTAAATAAGTTACCTATACCCTCATCAAGTGTGTTGCTTATCTTTACAATTAGGCTATAAACAAACTAGGTTTTTAATTTTAATTTTCTTATTCTAATTAAAGACAGTTACAATGCTATGAGCTGTCCTGGAACAGCTCTCTGACATGGAACAGAGAGAACAGGATGACCAAGAGCCAGCAAGTAACTAAATCCCCAATCCAATAGATTGTGAGATACTGAACCCTGGTGAGTACTATGCAAGTGAGCATGATGAAGCCTATCATCCTTCACTTCTCTCTACTTAAATCAAGGTGTTGACTGAACTTTGTAAAACTTTAACAGAAATCCATTTGCATGTATCTCTTTCAATCTCTAGAAAAGTCCTGGCTTCTCTAGCTAACACAACCATTCCTCCTTCAAGGATAAGAATGGTTAGCTTTAGTCTCTCATACCATATCACTTTAGCACTCCCTCTCTGTCTTCCTCTTGAACTTAAAAGCAAATTTGTGATTATACCTGATCCACATAGATAATCTAGAGGGAAAAATCTCTTCATTGCAAAGGTCATCTAACACAGCCTTAATTTCAGATGTATCTTTAATACCCATAAAAATATGATATAACATTTTCAGTTTCCAAAGATTTGATCAGGACATCTTAAATGTTCCTACAACAGTTGTTGACTGTGAAGTGATAGAGGTGTGCTAATTAGTTCAATTAAAGCATTTCACAATACATACATATACACACATTTTGTAGTACTCCAGAAAATAACAGAAAAATATCAAATTTTTCTTTGATAATTGAACATTTTTTAAAAGCTGTTGTAAAGCTGAGTGTGGTGGTACTTGTATTTAATTCCATCACCAGAAGGCAGAAGAAGATCTCTGAGTTCAAGGTTAGCCTGGTACACAGAGAGTTCCAGGAGGACATTATTCCATATACCAGAAAAACAATGATTTTTAAAAACTTCTTCATAGGAGCTCAGGGAATGGTCTGAAGGTCTGGTACAAGCTAAGTATGGACCCTATAGTTGACATACACCACAAAGCCTTCATAAACTCTTATCTTGCATTGTGTCTAGTTAAAAGTTGACCGGTACTTATCACCAATGAAACTCCAGTGGTCCTTAAAGAAAATAAAGCTTGTACATAATAAACAAATGCAGACACCCTAAGTTTTTCAGTATCTGAAAATTGCAAATATAACATCATATAACATCTTCTAACTTCTGTAGCATATATTCTATTGTCATAAAACAGTTCAGAAGTTTTGGTTGTGAGCCTATCCTTTTAACGGCTGGGCTATGCCTCCAGCCCCAGTTCAGAAGTTTTACAGTGACAGTTAGTACCTTGGAATCCCTCTATCAGAATTCCCTTACTATCTCTACCATATCCTTTACCAAAATCAAGAATCACTCATTGCAGTTGTTCCTCCTGTAATTTTAGTTTTATATGAACTCAATCATTTTGCCTTCATGTTTTTAATAGTACAGACCACACTTTAGCCTTGAAATCAAGCAGTGCATGCTATGTGTGGAAATAACTTCCTGCAAGCCACTGAAGGGGGTGGAATAGGTTTGTGATTCCTGTCCACACTCTCTTCAGATACTTAGTCCAATTGATCAGTCCAGAAACTACATGAAAAAGATTAATTTATAAGATTTTCTTAATTAACTAACTAATTTTGTTTATGTGATGGCACACATGCATGTATGGACACACACATGAACATATTCTACAACATGCATGTGGAGGACCTAGGACAACTTGTTGAAGTTAGATCTTTCCTTCCACCATCTGGGTCCTAGTAGAACCTTTAATTTAGGTTGTCAGGCTTGGTAGCAAGCACCTTTGCACACTGTGCTATCTCACTAATTTCCTATTTACTGAGATTTACTTTATCTGACCTCATTTGAGCTCATTCATGGAGGAAATCTGTCTACAGGATGTTTGTTTTTTTGAGAAGCACTCCATTGGAAAATGAAGGCAGTTGGGTTGACAAGAGGCTGAAGAGAAATACAAAGAAAATAGTTAGGAATGAGATGTCTATGAGGTCTTTGAAAACTTCAGACACATTCCTACAAATTTAGAAGGCCACAAATGTGTGTATAGGCCAATAAAAGTAGACAAGTATCTTAAAAGACACTTCATCACAGAAGATTTACATGTGACAAATATGCATATCTACAGATAATTCAATATTGTTGCCCATTTGGAAAATGTCATTTAAAACCACAATAAAACCCTGCTGCAAAACCAACAAGCACTGAAGTTATGGAGTACTAATGGCAGCTTATTGTGAAGTTACACATCAACTAACCTCAGGACTTAGTAACCACTCCCAATGAAACTAGAGAAATGAAAACTGACACAAAAAACCATACATCTCATGAAAGGTTTATTCACTAATTGTTAAATGCTGGAAACACCTCAGTTTTTTGTTCAAGTGGTGAATGAATAAACAAACCTTCATATAATTAATGGAAAACTCACTAGCAGTAAGATTTGTATCATGATCAGTGAAATAAACCAATTTCAAAATGCTACCAACTGTATGATTCTATTTCCATGTCCTATTGGTAAAGGTAAGCTACAGGAACTTTTCTTACACTCAAGGTCTTCAGCAGATGTATACATTCAGATATGCTCCACATATTAATTGCAACTTGTTCAACCACACTTCAAGAATTTCTGTCCTGAAAGAGACCCTTCTGGAAGATGGAGGAGACTCAACTTGGGAAGTTTCGCAGTGTTTGTGATTTATATTTTAAAGTTAGATTGTATGGCACTCTGCTTCTGTGACAGCATTTATTTAAATAGGCTCCTACTGATTTCCTCCTTTCCCATCTGCATGACAGTTCCTATCTTAAATATCATAAAACTACTCAAACTTATGCTTTCGTTATTTCTCTGCCAAGAATCACTATATCTTTTTACATGCCTAATACTTACCAAATCCATGGGGCAGGAGAATGAAAGGGTGCAGCCCGACTAATGTGAATATTTGTGGGGATAGCTAACCTAAAGGATGAGATACTCAGATGACCCTAGAGGTCTCAGAAGGGAAGAAGGAGACACAATCTCTATAAGAATAAGGATCAAGCATATTATTTCCTGGACAGAAGTTCCTGTTGACTTAGCAAGCATAATACTCTGAGATATTTCCCTGACTGTGCCTGAGAGCCTTGACAAATGAACAGAAGCCCAAAAGGGATGGAGATTTAGGTACAAGGGCTCCACTTGACTCCACCTGCTTCTGCCAGCCTGGGCTCCTACCTCATCTGGGACACAGTGAAGTGATGCTGTAGCTTTGCTTCCACGTCCTTTTGCTGGGTAACCAGTTCCTTTTGCTTCAGCAGGAACTGAAGATTTTCCTCCAGTTTTGATGTTCCTGTTCATTAGAAGATTATGTTCCTAGGGCACAGTTGTGCACCCATATACCCACCTGTGCATTCATGTGCATGCACACACAGTCACTCCTGAACAGACATAGGTACATGGATGTACCCATACAAACTTCATTTTATCCACATGTTTACTTCCTAGATACATTAATGTAAGAAGAGATCCCCTGGGATACCATGAAGAAGAGAGGTAATTTTCATTAGCCCACACACTATTTACCTATATCCCCACCCAGATGTAGAAAAATACAGGATGCTCTGAGTTAAAAATGTGGTGATGTGGTGAGGATTATGTACTTTTTCTCTGTGTTGATAAATTTTCATCTTTTTTTAACTTCATATGTGTGGTTTTTTTTTTTGCATGCCTATGTGTCTGTGTACCACATGCATGCCTGGTAACCTAGGGGAAGAATCCAGCAGGCAAATAAGTCAATATAGTGCTTACCTTGTAAATCAGTGCACAAAATGGTATATGCCAGGGCTCCTTGACCAGTTATCCAAGCTTGCATAGCAAGTTCTCCAGTCTGTGCATTAAAGGCTTAGTTCCCCAGGACAGGACCACTGCATGGTAGTAGACCATCCCCTTGCTCTCACTTGGTGCTTCCCAGTGTCTCCCAGGAGGGCAGCTTCCTCCAAAAGATCTTTCTAAAACACGGGTCGCCTCAATTTAGGTCCAATACAGTCAAGCACTGAGCAAAGAAAATTAGCAAATCTCTCCAACCAGGAGTGAAATTATACTTTCCTCCCTGTAAGATGATTATGTCAGGAATTTCTTTAAGTAAAATAAGGTTGATTAGGTCATGGAAAAATGAATGCATGTATTACTTCATGTTTAACAATATTCCATGGAAGGGCTCGAACATAGTGTATGTTTTTCTTATTAGTGATGGTTTGAATAGTTTGTGGTTTGGGGGTACTCTTAGGAATGCTGTTTTAAACTTATTTTCCCCTAGATTCTCTGTGGTCACTTACTTCTCCTTGTAGGATCACTAGGTCACCTGGGGACTGAAGTTCAACTTTCTGAAAAATTATACATAGCTTCTCACAGGGCTACACCATTTTACAGCACTAGCAATGTTTGAGGGTCCTCACTTCTTCCAAACCCTCATCAGAGTGATTTTAACTCAGTATGAAGAAGTTTGGAGTAAAAACAGTTTCTGAGTACTGAAGACATAACTTGGAGTGAGCATTTTAGACTATGATGAGCCTAAGTGGGCTGCACAGAGACAGCCTGTTTTCACACCTCAGCACAGCTATGGGACTTCTATTGGGCAGAGACCACCATAAGCACCTCTGCAGTTCAAAATTTTTCACAGAATAATAACCAGACAAAGCTCCAAGGGCAAGGTTAACTGAGCCAAGGTTAGACAAAGGTGGAAGGAAAATGGTAGCAGGTAATGAGAAGAACAAAACAGAATTCAGGGAAGTCATTAGTGGACAGTTACTATTCACCCCAAGCAGAGAAGGATGCCAACCATTAACCACCCTTTTCTGCCTGTCAGGCACCATGATTTGATTAAGTAGCTTCTTTCTTACCTTCATGTATACCACATTACTTTGGTTTTCTCCAAAGGATTTCTTTGCAGAGGAATATTAATACCTCTAAAAGCCCTTGAAAATCATTAAGCTTGCATCAGTTTTATGGCCCTTTGTTCTAGCTACCTGTGTGGACATTCAGAAGGATGGGCATTTCCATGTGCTCTGTGACTGAAGTAAATTGATACTAACCAGAGCAGGCAGAGAACTTTCTCACTAACATTGGTCTCCATATCCTAAAAGATGTCCTATTCTTCCATGAGTGAGTGAACTTACATATAGGAGGCTCAAACACATAGATATACATGAAATCGACTCACACACACACACCCTTACTAAGTCCAGAAAGAAAGGGAGAGGACACTAGTGTGTTGCAGTACCTCTTCTGCTGCCAGGAAAGGTAATGGGTCCTCAGTACTTTCTCCAAGGCTCTTAGACACAGAAAGGCTGGCCTAGACTTTGTTTCACTTCCAAGAAAGTTCATCACCACAAGACTCACTGATCCTACAGGAACATGACAACCTCTGCACAACTCAGCTTCACAACAAAAGACCAAGTGTCAAAGGAATAAGGCTGGAAATAAAGTCTCCAGATAGCTCCAAGTTGACCAATCATAGTGTCCTAAGTACATGTATGCAGGCTCCTCCACAGAAGCCCTTGATAGAACCAAAGAATGAAAGTGACCCATGGTCATTACCCAACAACTTTTGAGCATAATACAGTACATACAATAGGAAAATAGCCCCAAGGCAGTCAGTAGGAGGCTAGTGAGGTCTCCTGAAGTGCTTTCCTGAGGTTCAGCTTTCTATACAACTTTAATGGGGAATCTGTTCTAAGACAGAGCCATGGACATTACAAAGTGAGCACCAAGATGTCAACACAGAGATGTATTGCCAGGTTCTCTGGGCCCCATGTTGTGAAATCAATGAGACAAACCAGACATTTCCTGGGAAGTTACCTCTGTGCATTGAAAGGAAAGAAGTCTACTTTTTATTTTTAGAATAGTTCTGGTGTTTGATTCTTGTTATTACAAAACACATTAAAACCAGCATAGCACCCTTCCTATTTTACAGAGATGGAGGCGTATGATCTGTGATTTGTCCATCTACTTCAATGTACTACTGACTCTATCAGAGCAGTAGGGTTTCCTTACCAAACCTACAGTGTCTTCCAAGAGTCTAACTCCCCAGAAAGACTTATGAATGGTCACAGAAATGAACTATTGGATGGGATGTAGGTGGTCAGCTAGATTGTGAGTGGATGGATACTTGGGTACATATATATGTATGTGTATGGTTAGTTAGACGGGCAACTTGCCCCTGCTGCCTCAGCCTTCCTGCTCCTGCTTTGTCCAGAGGTCACAGATCTCTCATTGGCCTCCTCACAGAGCCATTTTGCCTCCTCATAGGACTCTTGCATCAAAATCTGCTCACCATGCATCCTTCTGTTGTCCTCTTTTAAATCCTCACTTTTACCTTCAACTGTGTCCATTCACTCAGAAGTCAGCTGTGAAGGACATTTAACCATCACAAAAAGTGATGAACTGCATTCATCCTCCATCTGCCACTCCTCCCTCCTAAAACCACCATCCCTACAAGGTCCCATGTCCTCAGACAGCCACAGGCTGTAGCCAATATTAGCCAAGCCAGCATCACCAAGGTCCAGGTAAAAGCCAGAGAACAGCCAAATTCTAGAAAGATTCAAACTACTTCTGAAGATCCTGTCACCAAAAGCTATCTGTGTACCTCTGAGAACAGGATTGAGGATCCCCTTGCACACACACCCCACACACACACCAGTGCTTAACTGTTCATGGTATTTGGAAAACATCATCAAGTAGATGATACACCCTCTGAAGAAGGACAGAAGACCCAACAGGAATATTTTCCATCTACTTGTTCCATAGAAACAGGCTAAGTAAGCCCCTACCAGGGCCCTAGAAACCATTAATGATGTAAACCATATTTTATATCTAGAAGCTCCAGAGGCTGACAAGAAAATGGCAAAACCTGCTGCTGCCATACATGCAGTTCATTACACACACACACACACACACACACACACACACACACACTACTAAGGGAGATCCTGACAGACAGTGCAGAACACACTCAGACACTACAGCACAAAGGAGATTTATTACGTCAGAAGGAAAAAAATGTGATTGGGGGTGGAGCACCATCTGCATCACACAAGAGCAGATTTCTTTTTCAGCAGTGTATTTTTAAAGAAAAGATGGGAGGTCTTTGCTAGGGTAGTTGGTGAAACCTGCATTCTACAGGTTAGCCAGTGTAGACAAATACTGAATTTTGATTAAAGGACTGTAGTGTTTAGTCTCTGGAAAGGGTCAGTGGCCAAATAAGAGAATGGACCTTGTAGCTAAACTGAGGAATGCAATCTATTGGTATATCAGGGGAGAGGGAAGTGAAAAAGCAGAACCTGCTGCTGCCATATTTGCCGTACTGGGACCTGTTAGAGACTACACACACACACACACACACACACACACACACACACACACACACACACAAATCCCATACAGAATTAGGATGTCAAAGAAATGCAGGTTGGTGGCCTTGTCTCAGAGTGCAAGGAACAAGATTAGAGAGGACCTGGGATGAGCTCCAGGCCTTCCAGTCACACACACAATTGAACACAGTAAGACAATCCCTTCAATCTGCTCCCAGAACAACCAGCAAAAAAATCACCTAGTCAAAGACTCACCATAAACCCACAGCAGCCAGCATCTCCCACAAGTCAACTCCTGTCAAGTCTTCTTGAAATGCATGTTGTGAGCTCACACACTACTGCCCATAACAGTAGAATGTGACTCAGGCCAAAGGCTCTGCTTTTCTTTTTGAGGAAGCAGAACAGTCTGTGTCCCCGTCTCACTCCTGCCCAGGCTTCAGTTCTGCCTCAGATGTACTGAGGAAAAATTGTTTGGGCAGGGGAACACCCTGAAGGTGGAGCCTGCAATGACCCAAGGAATCATGGGATTGACACAGGAGGGTCAAGTCAGTCATCAGAGGATGGGGCATGATGAATAACTGTTGTTCAAATCATTGCTGGTATAATGGGTGAAATGTTCAAGCATTACACTGTGCTGTTACCTGGCAGAATGCACTCAGGCAGTACTCTGGACAGCCCAGAGTTCCATGAGAACTATTCTGCATGCAGGTATAAAAGACCCTTTTAAAAGACAGACTCACACCCAATTACTTCCTCTTCTCTCTTACCTGTCTCCACACTTACTTCTCTTACCACTCTTCACTCTTACCTCTCTTCTCTCTTCACTTCACTAACATTTTACTCTCTTGCTCTGCCTTTCACCCCCCTCATGTCTCTCTCTCCCTGCTCTTGCTCTCCTTCCACTGTAATAAACTATGTTTAATGAACTGTCTATGGTTTGTGCTAAATCGCCCCAGTCCTGGATCAATCTCACACCCTCTCCATTTTTCTAATTTTTAAACTTTTACAAAAGAACAACAATAGAGAGGAGTACATGCAGTTCATTCCTATCCTTGTTATCATCTTTATATGAAGGGTCACTTTTTCCACCTTGTTCAGCATGCTCCCACTCAGTGAGGAAGGAGGGTGTGAATGATGCCTTCCCAGAAGTCCCTGTAGGTATATAAACACATGTACATTTGTATA